AATCCCGGTCAAGTAGAATCAGTGGGACTGCGGCTGCCCAGTGCTCACCCCCACCTCCTCCTGGTGCTCACTGGCTGCCAGCGGCCCTGCAGTCCTTTCCTCTTCCCACTCTTCTGTTTGCCACTGTTTCTTGTACAGGGGCTCTCAGTAAGTTTATTTGAACCAGATTTCACATGCATTTACATTTCCAGAGGTAGACATTTGCTCTGGGGCTGCACCTCACCCCACCCCTCCCCAAGGCCTGACCCCAGCTGGCCACCCTAACTGCACCTCAGCCTGACCCCAGCTGGCCACCCTAACTGCCCCTCACCAGTACATTTCCAGAGGTAGACATTTGCTCTGGGGCTGCACCTCACCCCACCCCTCCCCAAGGCCTGACCCCAACTGGCCACCCTAACTGCACCTCACCAGAGCCAGGTCTAGGGGAAGGCCGTCAGTGCCTCTTGTAAGCGAAACCCAAGCTGAAGATCTGACTGTGTCTCTGAAGCAACTTCAGGCCTGAAGGTGCAAGGGTCATGCAGGCAAGAGGGGCATGCATTTACCTCCTTAGTTTCATTTTGGTTCTTCATGTTTTCTGCTATGAATTGAACACTGTCAATCACATCTTCAACTTCAGGCAAGTGCTCTGAGTTTTCGGCCACCCATTGTAAAGGCTGATGACCTAGTCCCTTGCTGGTGGCGTGCTCACTTGATTTGTGACAATGGCAGCATTTCTTAGGAAGTTCAGGCTCTTCAGGGTCAGCAAACTTGACTTTGGCAGGTCTACTAGAAGCACCTTGGGGGTTTTTATCAGAACCTGCCTCCCTCGTCTTGTCCAGAGGCCTCTTCATCATCAGGATCTGGGGCAACAGCTGGAGGAAAATGGTCTTCACCCACTTGGGCATGGTGTGTGTTGTTGGGGTGCGGTAGTGAATGTTCAACACAAACACAGTCACCACAATGGACAGGGTGACAAAGATCATGGTGAACAGCAGGTACTCGCCCACCAGGGGGATCACGAGAGACGTGGATGGAATGGTTTCAGTAATGACCAGCAAAAACACAGTCAGAGAAAGCAGAACTGAAATGCAAAGGGTCACTTTTTCACCACAGTCTGAAGGAAGGTAAAAAACCAACACAGTTAGAAATGAAATGAAGAGACAGGGGATGATGAGATTAATGGTGTAAAACATCGGCAGCCTTCTGATGTAAAATGAGTAGGTGATGTCTGTGTATATCTCCTCACAACAGTTGTATTTTATGTCGTGCTTATAGCCAGAAGCATCGACAATTTCCCACTCACTGTTCTCCCAGAAGTCATTCATGTCCACTTTAGAGCCAATGATCAGAAGGTCAATTTCAGCTTTGTCATAAGTCCAGGAACCAAATTTCATGGAACAATTTTGATGATCGAAAGGGAAAAAGGTGATATCCATAGGACAGGAACTCTTAAAAATGGCGGGTGGAGTCCAGGTTATGGTGCCGTTGTATTTCAGCAGGGCTTTGGTCTTGCCTTCGACTTGAAAGTCGCCTACAGCGCTGCAAATAAATCAGACAGTTAGTAACACTCCCTCGGTTATGGGTCAGCATGCAACAGAGGCACCTCTGGAAAGAGACTGTGGCTGTCAGACCCCCATACTTGTTATAGAGAACAATGTCAGGCTTCCAGATCTTATCCGCTGGAACACGAAGAGTCTCAATGCCGTCATATTCCATTGGATCCCAGCGCAATTTATAATCATTCCAGATCTAAAAGAAATAGAAGTCAGCTTCAAATTGACTTAGTAACTTTCTTCATTGTTAGCTTTGTGTTGGGTCAAATCTTATTTGAAGAGAATACTGGCTTCTATTAGAAGTTGGAACACTACATCCATGACGAAAGAAAGCTAAATAGTGGGTTGTTGGAAAAGTCATGATGTACTTTTGTCAATGCAAAAATGGATTTTCCAACAACCCAATAGCTAGGCTGATTTTGGCAAATATTTAACTAGATAATAAATTATCGCTTCTTAGTTAACTGGCCACAAAACTTCCGTGTTTTGTGGGCTATACCCAAACTGGAAGAGCAACTCATAGATAATAAATTATCGCTTCTTAGTTAACTGACCACAAAACTTCTGTGTTTTGTGGGCTATAACCAAACTGGAAGAGCAACTCGGGAGATGACCAAGCATATATTTTGTACTCTACAAATTAGATATGGAAAGAGGTCACGCTAGTGGGTTGTATCCATCCGACATTGTTAAGCTGTCACATGAAATAGAAGATTTGACAGCAGAAACCAGCAAGGAAGTCTTGACATCGGAGAGACCGTTGCCGCTAACTGCCTGCATGGAGAAGCTCGCAACACACCATCTGTTACTAGAACTGAACCCTCAGGCTTTGGAGATGACCAAGCATATATTTTGTATTCTACAAATTAGATATAGAAAGAGGTCACGCTAGTGGGTTGTATCCATCCGACACTGTTAAGCTGTCACCTGAGTAACACAGACACGTACATGACGCAGCCACAAATTTGTTTCCAATATCTGGTTTACTTCATCCTGGGAAGAAGAGAAAGGATATTTTTAGCTTCAAATATACTTTCTAATAGACACAAAAATTAGAGTGAAATCACAACTGAAAAGAGCCAACTCTGAGTTACTGATGCCAGTGCAGGAAAGCAAGAAGACGAAAAAAGCAATATACAAAGGACATTTAATATGTAGTCAGAGGGACCAGCAGTTAACATAATGGCTATGTTGCTGAACTCCCATGTAGTTGACCGCAGTTCGAGTCCTGGACCCAGTAGCTTAAACTCACGCTGGGCGCATGTACGTGCAT